TTCTTTTGATGGGTCACCCAGAATCCCGACCGATTGGCAAATGGACCATTTTAATAGTCCTATCTTCAGAAACATTCTACCTTTCTACCTTTCCTGGTTTGTCTCCGATTCAAGCTTTTTTCTGTATCGCTTAATAGCCTCCTATACGATTATTACGAAAATCTCGAGGAATTTCATAATGCCCTTCCACCTCTCGCGTGTCAATGATTGCAAGTGGCATTGAATGAGCCTCCTCCATCTGAAAGATATTAGGAGTTCCACATCAGTAGCCATGCATATTGCAAGGAAATCCTCTTATGCAACTGATTAATAACAGCTTATGTGAATTTGATCTATTATTTCTACCTTAAAAATTTCTGAATTTTGGCGCCAATAATTTTGGGATATCCTGTACAAGAGAAAGCTCAGTAAAAAATGCTTCATTATGAAAGCAAATGAAAGCAAAGAGATTACAGGAAATCATTTGTATAGCTAAATTTAAGGCAAAGATCATGTTAACAACATAAGCATCATGATTTTATACATAACCTAATCTTGAAATATATCACTATTCTTCACCAAAATGGCGAGCGAACGTCTCGTGGTGGAGAAATCAATGAGAGCGAAGAAAGGAACCTGAAATGAGAATTCTTACTAGGTCTAATAGGCATCCCTATCAAATGATCAGACTGAAGAGGACGGAGAGTATAGGAGCGATTAAACGAACATCAAATGAAAACCTACAGTAGTTTCAATCATGAGTCATGGTCAATGATGAACTCTCTTACCACTGAGGATTTTTCAGGAAGTTGCAGGGGAGGCGGAGAGGACGCGAGCGATTGAAAACACCTGAAATGAAAACTCATAGTAATTCCAATCATAAGTCTTGTCCAATGATGAACTTACAGTTATTCAAATAAGACCTTCTGTCCAATGACTAACTCTCCTACCATTGAATATTTTTAAGTAGTTGCAGTGGAGACGAAGACGATGGGGGTGATTGACAATACCTGAAATGAAGGCACACACTAGTTCCAATAAGAAATTTTGTCCAATAATGAAAATTTTCTTGCCATTGAGTAATTTCAAGTAGTTGTATAGTAGAGGGAAAGGGGAGGATCGGTTATGGTGAATGGAACTGAAACCTACAGTAGTTCCATCAGAAACTTGTCCAATGTTCAACTCTCTTACCATTGAGTATTTTCAGGGACTCATAGAGGAGGCGGAGAGGATGGGAGCGATTGAAAACAACTGGAATGAAAGCTCATAGTAGTTCTAATCACAAGTCCTGTTCAGGGATGAACTCTCTTACCATACAGTATTTTCCAGGTAGTTGTAGAGGAGGAGAAAGGGATAACATCGATGAAAAGTACCTGAGAAGAGAACTTATAGTTTTCCAAATCAGAAGTCTTTCCCATTGATGAACTTACCATAAAGTATTCTATGTACAGGTAACAGTAGAGGAAGAGAATTGGATAACAACGATGAATGTACCTGAAAGGAACACTTACACTTTTCCGAATCAGAAGTCTTGCTCAATGATGTGCTCTCTTACCATTGAGGATCTTTCAGGCAGTTGTAGGGGAGGATGGGAGCAGTTGTAGTAGCCAATCTCATAGTAGTTCTAATCAGAAGTTTATCCCCAATGATCTGATGAGCTCCCGTTGATGATCTTATCACGTAGTATTCTCCAGGTAGTTGTAGAGGGAGAGAAGTCTATAGCAGCGATTCAAAGTACCTGGAATGAAAGCTCATAGAAGTTCTAATCATAAGTCCTGTCCGATAATGTACTCTTACCATATAGTGTTTTCCAACCAGTTGTAGAGGATCGACAGCGACTGGCCCTGTGCCTTGTTTTTAGTGGTAGCGAAGCCTAATCGAATCGGAAATTGTCTCCTCCTCAAACGGAATGGAATCCATTTGCCTGTGTAGAGGTCTGTCTATACGTGGGATAAAGACAAATCGTTCTTCCGTATTGACCGCACCATTCTATGATAAATTTTGTTTCATTGCAAAGACCTCCGGATGCATCAGGATTGCGTAGCAGCATCCCTGCTTCACTTCAGCTAATGCGGAGGCACCCCACTTGGATGCAACTGGTTTAAATGCTCAACTTGGCAATTGAGAACATCTTCCGGGTCCGCATTTTCTAATTCGTCGATGCTTTTGTACACTTTCAGTTATAGTTCTTCGGGCATTCGCTTTCCTTAACTGTAGGGTGTAGATGGAAGCTTTCAGGATAATTTCCATCACCGATCTGTAGCAGCATTCTTGCCCACTCTCCACTGTCCGTTGCAGCCCTCATGTTCACGGAATGATGATAAGTGACGAAATGCTGCCATAAATGAGAGTTTTCTATGCACGCATTTTCCAGATACTCTTGTCGCCCTCTCCCAACAGCTGGAAGTACCTTTCGAAACCTACAATCATCGTCTCACCTCCGAATGGCGAAGATCCACGGCCTCTATCGTCCACTTTGGTACCATCGAGATTTCGACCCAA